GGTGTCATCTGCAAGTTTACTAACTATATCTCTTACGATCACATCCAAATCATTTATATAAATGATGAAATGCAGTGGACCCAGCACTAATCCTTGTGGCACACCACTGGTCATAGGCCTCCAGTCTGAAAAGCAACACTCCATTGTCTTCTACCTTTGAGCCAGTTCTGTATCCAAATGGCTAGGTCTCCCTGTATTCCATATGATCTAATCTTGCTAACCAGTCTATCAAGAGGAACCTTGGTGAACGCCTTAAGTCCATATAGATCCTGTTTATCACTCTGCCTTCAACAATCCTCTTCGTTACTTCTTCAAAAAACTCGATGTTAGTGAGACACAATTTACCATGCACAAAGCCATGTTGACTATCCCTAATCAGTCCTTGCCTTTCCAAGTACTTGTAAATCCTGTCCGTCAGGATTCCCTCTAACAACTTGCCCACCACCATTGTCAGGCTTACCGGTCTCTAGTTCCATGGCTTTTCCTTACCACCTTTCTTAAATAGTGGCACCGTGTTAGCCAACCTCCAGTTTTCTGGCACCTCACCTGTGGCTAACAATGGTATAAATATCTCCATAAGAGGTCCAGCAATCACTTCCCTTGTTGCACTCATTTCGTTTGCCACTGCTCTGCCATTCAATCTACCATTTACTACTTCTTCAGTGGGGCCCTGCAGAATTAGGGAGCTGGTTTTGGCAATGTAAACATTCCAAGCTGATTCACTATAATGCTATCCTTTGTTCTGAATATTATCAATATGAAGGGTGCTCAGTTAGAAAGAAACAGTTAGCAGCTTGCACAAAAAATTAGAGGGAGTCAAAATCATAACATTTCCAACCTTCTCATGTAATATAATGCACAATTTATACACTTCATCACAATTCACAAGAAAAAACAAACAGTTGCAAAACAAAGAAAAATGAAATGAATTTTAAACATCATTATCTGATTCACTTGACCAAAAATATATGCATACTTAAGAGTGTTCAACTCAACATCCCTCACATGAGCTTTCTTCTAAAGCACATTATCTGAATGCTTTGATTACTAGCTTATAAATTACTCACCTTCCATGGTCTGCCCATCAATGGTTAGAGAAAAGAAACACGATTAAAAATAGCATTGATTTAGAACCTGGAGGAACACAGCAGGTCAGGCAGCATCAGAGGAGCAGGAAAGTTGACGTTTCGGGTCGGGACCAAGAAGGGTCCACACTGTGTTATCTCTGATTCCAGCATCTGCAGTTCTTACTGTCTTTGATTTAGAATCTAAATATATTTTCTAATAATACACCAAAATGCACCAACTTTCATAGGACAAACAAAAACAGTTACTTACAAAATGCTATGCTTTGATAAATGTCATACAAAGAAGTAGTACAAGTGACACAATGTTTATACAAAGGGCAATGTCTGCAATATCTTGGCATATCAAGCTGCCATATTCCAGAATTTCCATATTTGTTTACCACTTTGTGACTTCCATGTAGCAAGACCCTGGTTTACTAATTAGAATGGGCTATTTAAAATGTTACTTGTTCCGATGTTTTAACAACAGGTCACATTTTTCATTGAAAATATTTAAAATAAGATTTCAAGAAACAAGTAGTTTGTGTTTTGGGTCAAGGATCACAAATTCTGAGGAGACAGCTATTTATATTAAATACACATTATTTGACATTAATGAGCTTACACTCAGCTCACAGCACGGCAAATTATAAATAATGCGGGAGAATATTTTCTATTTGGAACTGGCTTAAAATCAGACTTTTCAGAAATTTAAAACTTTTTTTTTGCTTCTTTTCATCTGATGCCCTTTTTGATTGGCAACCTCCACCATAACGACAACTGTAGATGTGCAGTTCACAAGAGGTCATATTGGAGACAATGCGTGACAGGCAGCTGATTAAATTTATTCATCTAGCTTGGCTTTAATTAGAAAATGAATGCCTAATTAAGAAATGCACTTGCTAAAGATTTTCTTTTGAAACACTCTCAGTGTAGCCCTGACAAAACAATTTTGGAGAGGATATTTTAGTAAAGATGAGGCTAGATATTTTGCTGTGCAATTTATCTTCCCGAAACACTAATCATTGGATTATGTTAACATGTAACAGTGCAGAATCCAGGATATTGTATTTTCCAGGCAACAGGAGACATAACAAGTGCTTCATGATCTGAAAATTTATTATCAGATAGTCTGCTGTTAACATTTATAGGCTTCAGTAAGTGTCAAGGACAAGCATAAGTGCACAAATCAGACGCACTCCAGATGCTGGAAATCTGAAGAAAATGGAAATGTTTGGAAAAACTCAGGTCAGGCAGCATCCATAAAGAAACTACTAGAGTTAATGGGCAGAATTTAGTTTAGTTCAGGTGATGGAGAACCTGTCCATCTACTGGGGAGCTCCTGTAGGAGCTTGTTACCTCAATTGGACAAACCACCATATTAAAGGGCCCAATAGGCCTAGCCAGCAGTTGGGCTTCTTTGGGATTGAAGATTTCAGGGACAGAAATCTCACTCAGAGCTGCCAAGAGAGAACAGCAGCTGCCCCTTCATTGGGTAGGAAACACAAGAGATAATGATTCACCCTTTTACCCCAACAACATCCTACGATACTTAAACCTTAGTGAAGGGTCACCTCTCTCTCTCTTCTCCTCCGCCACCAACCCCCAACCCCAACCCAATCCCCGGAGCTGAAAGTTTTTGGCCAGGTAGTACAGCTAGAATTGTTTTTTGGAACTTTTCTTTAAACTGAGTTCTAAACACCATTGGCACAAACACAGGTTTTCCAAATCCTCAGCTTCCAGTGGTTTTCTGGCCACTCTTTTCAAACCAACTTAGCAGTTCTGCCTCCATTCTCCTTTAAATACAGACATAGACTAATTCACTGACTTTTTGGATGTTTCTATCTCTGTCTCAATATGTGTCATTGGACATGTAGTTGCTTGGCAACAGCCCAATTTTCTCTACCATTTTTAACACGTGGAGCTGTACATGTATAAACAAACTGGAGATTTGTCAATGGCAAAACTCTCAAACATGAAATGAAAGCTCTGGGTCTTCCTCCATTCTTAATATGCACAATATAGCAATACAAACATCAAACTTAAAACTATACATTAGTCATCTATTTTAAATCTCAATAATATCACAAAGCTTCAAAGAAGAGGGAGTGGTTGGGGCCATAAAAGTGGATACCATTGAAGTGATGTAGGGCATCAGTGGAATTGCAGATGCAGGACAGAAGAGGTGAGAAAAAAAATGGATTTGTTATTGGAAGCACAGGTTCTGGAAACACAAGTATTGGTTTTTATGAACGAAAGCAAAAAAAAATAGACAAGTTTGGGACACTGCACTCTGCTGCACGTAAGCTGCACCTTTGAGTTGTAGTACATACTGCAGAGGAAGATCACTAAACGTCCAAATGTTAAAGTAATCACTGAAAACGGTGAAGTTGGTCATAAGAACATAAGAACTAGGAGGAGTAGTAGGCCATCTGGCCTCTTGAGCCTGCCCTGCCATTTATAAGATCATGCCGATCTTTTTGAGACTCAGTTCCACTTACCCGCCCACACACCATAACCCTTAATTCCTTTACTGTTCAAAAATTTATCTAGCCTTGCCTTAACAACATTCAGCGAGGTAGCTTCAACCGCTTCACTGGGCAGGGAATTCCACAGATTCGCAACCCTTTGGGTGAAGAAGTTCCTCCTGACCTCAGTCCTACATCTGCTTCCCTTTATTTTGAGGCGATACCCTCTAGTCCTAGTTTCACCTGCTAGCGGAAACAACCTCCCTGCCTCCACTTTATCTATTCCCTTCATAATCTTATATGTTTCTATAAGATCTCCCCTCATTCTTCTGAATTCCAATGAGTATAATCCCAGTCTACTCAGTCTCTCCTCATAATCCAACCCTCTCAACTCTGGAATCAACTGAGTGAATCTCCTCTGCAGCCCCTCCAGTGCTGGTATATCTCTTCTCAAGTAAGATAACCAAAACTGCACACAGTACTCCAAGTGTGGCCTCACCAGGACCCTATACAGCTGCAGCATAGCCTCCCTGTTTTTAAACTCCATTCCTCGAGCAATGGCAGACAAAATTCCATTTACCTTTTTAATTACCTGCTGCACCTGCAATCCCACCTTCAGCGATTCATGCACAAGGACACCCAAGTCCCTCTGCACAGCAACGTGCTGCAATTTTTTACCATTTAAAACATAGTCCATTTTGCTGTTATTCCTACCAAAATGGATGACCTCACATTTACCAACATTGTACTCCATCTGCCAGACCTTTGCCCACTCACTTAGACTATCTATATCCCTCTGCAGACTTTCAGTGTCTTCTGCACACTTTGCTCTACCACTCACCTTAGTGTCATCTGCAAATTTTGACACACCACACTTTGTCCCCAACTCCAAATCATCTATGTCATGATGGGCTGCGGAGAATCTCACTGGATTAATAGGAGATGAATGGGATGTTATTGCAAAAAATTATGACAACTAGGATACTGGGTGAGATATATCAATCTGGGTAGTGACACTGGTTAAGCAGAGATATTGCTATAGACAATTATGTCAAGTAAATGCGAAAGGAAACATTTTCCAGACAAGTAATGCCAGATGGCGAAGGGGAGACTTGCACACTAAGTAGAACAAGCAAAAAGCAATACACTTACACATAGGCTAAAGTATGTTTTACCAAATGACAGGTAATGATGTGTTTAAACCAAATACAAAGGGACAGCATTTTGCACTCTTAGAAAGCAAGTTCGAGAATAATTAAAGCAGAGAATTTGAAAGTGTGTTACCAAAGACTGTTGGAATTCAGTGCTGCTTCCCACAACCAGACATCTTTTTTACCTCTACATTACACGCTTCGAAAAAAAAATAAACTGAAAACATTTTGACTCTTTTTTTCTTCTTTAAGAAATTAGTTGGGAGACTTTTCATTAAAATTACAGTTTTCATTACAGATTTAGTCACACTTACCGGTTGAGGCTGTTCCGCAATACAGCAATTAAAACACAACCAGAATTCACTCATGATTTAAAGTCCCACGACAAAAAGTCCCTTCAGTGACACAGAATCTAGATTCTATATTCAAGTGTGGGAACGTCCAGTTGTCCGTCAATCCACAGAATAGTGTGTGCGAAACTGAGAAAGCGAAGTTCGCCCGGTTATGAACAAGCTAAAATCGCAAAGGTACAGTTTTGGTAACCGGCTAGTCAGTTCGTATTGGAGATTTCACCACGGTTTTCGGTGGCGTTTTCACCTTTTCTCCAGTGTTCAAGAATGATGACCTGCAGACAATTAAAATAAGAGATATTGACAAACCAAAGAAGAAGTAATAAACAGTCGAGTTTTACAATTTTGATCACTGTTAGCTGTCAGCGTAGCTACCTATCACATCATATACAGACGCACACAATGGAAAAAAGCACTTAAAAATCTTTTCTGCACATTTCCAGCTTGACTAAATCGGGATTTACTTTTGAATCTCAAACACAATCACCTACTCTCCTTTGATTGCTTCGCATAAAGCCTGCTCCTGGTTTCAAAACATCAAAGCAGAAGGAAAAACATAGCAAGCTGACGCTACTAATAAAACAGCTGAAACTCTGGCCATAAACATTCTTCTACCACAACTTTGAGAACTCTTTTCCTCACTTGGTTGCATCAGGAAATAATTCCAGGTATGAAGCTTTCCTGCAATGATCGACAACAACCTCCTTTAAAGCTTGAGAACCATAGAGACTCTTCAGCTGAATATGCAGCTGTGTAGGTCTGCCAGCAAGAGTGTCAACGAGAGGAAGGAGGTGACTTCATTCCAGCTTGCAAAGAGAGACGCACGGCAGGTGGGCGGAGAATAGCAGCCATTGTACAACACTACATGCTACAAAGTGAAATCAGTTCAAAAAATGCTTTTAAAAGAGAAATCCCGTTTTGAATCTTAAGCGGCAGCCTTTTGTTCTAATCCTGTGCTTTAAAGACGGTTGAAGTGGTACCATAGGAAGCAATCATTCTTATCAACCCAAAGCACTACGTGGAACACTCCTTCTTCCGCAGTTACATGGGCACCATTCCTCACCTCTTCCTCCTCTGCATTGATGACTGTATCCGCACTGCCTTGTGCTCCCATGAGGAGCTTGAACAGTTCATCAACTTTACTAACACCTTTCACTCCAACCTAAAATTCACCTGGAACCATCTTCAACACCTCTCTCCCCTTCTTGCACCTCTGGGTCTCCATCTCTAGTAACTGTCTGGGCACTAACATCTATTTCAAACCCACTAACTCGCATAGTAACCTTCACTACAGCTCCTGTCACACCACCCTCCTGCAAGAATGAAATCCCATACTCCCAATTACTCCACCTCCGCAACATCTGCTCCCAAGACAGAGTGTTACATTCCTGGACATCCAGATGTCCTCCTATTTCAAGGACTGTAACTTCCCCCTCTGGTGATTCATAATGCACTCAACCACATCTCTTGCATTTCCCATACTTCTGCCCTCAAACACCCATGCCCCAACAAAAATAAGGACAAAGTCTCCTTGCTCCTCACATACCACCCCACCAACCTCTGCATCCAGCGCATCATCCTCTGCCACTTTCGCCACCTTCAATCTGACCCCACCGAAGAGACGTTTCCCTTCCCATGCCTATCTGCATTCCATAGGGACCGTTCACTCTGTGACTCCCTCATCCGCTCCATATTCCCAAATAACCACACCACACATGGCACCTTTCCCTGCAACCACAGAAGGTGCTACATATGCCCCTACACCTCTCCTCTCACCTCCCTCCAAACAATTTTTCCAAATCTGACAGGTATTCACCTGTTCGTCCTCCAACCTGGTCTATTGTATCCATTGCTCCAGATGTGGTCTCCTCTGCATCAGTGAGACCAAGCACAGACTCGCTGAACAATTCGCGGAGTATCTGCACTCTGTACGCTATAATCAACAGCATTTTCCAGTTGCCAAAAATTTTATCTCCCCCTCCCACTGCCTTGGTGATATTCCATCCTGGCCTCCCCCAGTGTCACAATGACGCCACACGTAAACTGGAGGAATAACACCTCATATTCTGCTTCGGAAGCTTACAGCCCAATGGCTTCAAAATAGAATTCACCAGTTTCAAAAACTCCCCACCCTCAGCCTTTTCCCATGTCCAACCCTCCCTCTCATCCCTGCCTTCTTGATCTGACACAGCCTGTCCATTTTCTTTCTCACCTATCCACCCCACCCTTCCCATGACCTATCTCCACAACCCCTACCTGCATCCACCTATCACCATCCCACCTACCTTCTCCCGGCCCCACCCACCTCCTTCTATTTATTTCTGAGCTCCCTTTCCCCTTCCCAGTCCTGATGAAGGGTGTAAACCCGAAATGTCAACTTTCCTGCTGTTCTGATGCAGCCTGACGTGCTGTGTTCCTCCGGCTCCACACTGTATTGACTAGGATGACCAACGTTATTACAAACAGGCTCATTACAATATTACTCCTCTCTCATGTAACTATTTCCTATTTCAATGAGGCATCTAAGAAGCAAAGTACTGTGTACAGCAGATTAATATTTTCAACAATTTTATATGATTTAACTTTATTTCCAACATTTAAACAATGAAAAATTAAATGATTTATAGCAACATTGTATATTTTAATATTAATCAGCAAGTTTTCAATTGGAGAAAAGGAACACTGACTTTGCAAACCACAACTGTTGGCTGTGTGCTACCCAACACCAGAATGTTTATTTTAAATCAATGACATGCATTTTATTCCTGGAATCATAGTTAACCACACAAGTAAAGGATTTTTGTTCCAAGATGCACCCTATTGTATATCCTTCCTAATTTCTTGTCCAGACAAGGTAATTTAGCACTAATTACGGCAATACTTACTTATTCAGATCACAAAATGAAGTGTTTTCATGTTCAAAACCTTATTTTATAGAAAAAGCTCTTGAATTACTCAAACCAGACAATGTTTTACACTGTTTCCACAAATCCCAGGCAATTTTGGATTCTATTCTGTCCACCCTGAAGAAGGTAAGCAGGGAACCTTTATGCGGTTGTACCGGCAGTGATTTAAAATCGGGCTGTCCAGCCAATGGCCTGGCATCTCCTTTACAGATAAACAAATCTACAACTCAATCAAAAACAGAAATTGCTGGAGAAACTCAATTTCTCACGAAAGATTAACTCTGCTATCTTCCCACAGATCCCACTACCTCCTGCGAGCAGCTGGGGGCCTGGAATCATGGTGGTGAGTCAGTGGCTGGGTCTGGGAATAGTAGGCTTGCAGGGAGACTCTGGCTTGGAATGGTGAGGAAGGACTTGAGACTCTGGCATGGGAGCAAGACCAAGGCAGGAGTGGAGAGTAGGGAAGGGTCGATGAAAAAATAAATAGAGAGACTCTCTATTACAGGCCAAGATTGGCTGTTAATTCATTCTGAAGCTAGGTATCAATCTTTTTTAATTAAAACTGGAATGATTGACAGAATGCAGAACTATGTTTGCCTCCTTTCTGAATATCCCAGGAGTCTCTACGTCTTTCTCTCTGTACTTTGTTTGTTTGATCAAATCAACAGATGATTGATCCTTTATAGGGGCACGGTAAGTAAATGAAACTTATCAAAATTAAATTAAAACACTCTTTTGGTGGCTCACGGTGCATTCCACCCTGTGTAGTATCATGGAAAGCCACAAGAATACCAACAGATTACTGGCACCTAGGCACAGGTGTAGCCATGGAAGATGGTCAGGAAGTCGAGTAGAATGAACCTTCCAACTGCTAGCTGCCTGGATCTGTTTATAGACACTTTGGCCTGGCTCAGGCTAATGAGGAGGTCTTCCTTCCTCCCGACCTCTTTCTGCAATGAGTGGCTAAGCAGGAGTATGAACTGAAGTGCAAGCAAATGTTGGACAGCAGTCCCTTCAATTTTTGAAAGGACTGCAACCTTTCAAAAGTTATAAACATTGAACACTTCAATCACGAAAAGAAACACTTGCAATCTGGGCATTCATGAGCTAATTTATTCTTTCTTCATACTCTTTTGAACAAACAATAATTAGACAAATACATTAACAAAAGATCAACCCTTAAAGGACACTTTAAGTAAATTAAAAACATAAACTACTACCAAATCAAGAATTTCAATTGAAATTTATTTAATAAAAATGTTGTTACCAAGGATGAACTCCAGGCCCTGCAGTATCTATTGGTTGCAGAAGGCCTCAAGCACAACATCGGACACATGTGAACCATCTCTGGGTTCATTCTGGTATGGATGTAACCAAGGAACAGGAGTAAGCAGTTGTGTCAAACTCCCACTCAACTTCCCACTGCTTGGACCTGTTCAATTTCACTTCAACTAAGCCCAGGAACAGACCTACAAGGCGGTCCTCTGATTTATCTGCTCCTCTCTGCACTCTGTGCTCAAAGATCTGGAGTGAGGGGCTGAAATACAAACATCAATTAAGGAAAGTGCTTTTAAATAATTAAAAAGGAGCTATGGTTTATCATGCTGGTTGTAAATATGACCCATGGACTCTTCAAAACAGCAAAAAAAAGGTGGCATGGGAATTTGAAAACCATCTCAGTCTCCTATTGCATGAGTTTGCTGCATGCAACATCCTCCACGCCAAATTCCCAATGGTAAAGGGGAAGACTCTTTATATATGTTCAAAATCCTTAATCAATCAGTGCCCTTAATCTTGATAATACTATTAACACGCTATAAACATTGGTAGCTGGTGTGTGGTTGAGCAGTGAACTAGAGTTTTGGCACTCATTCACTGCTAGACACATGACCTTCAACAGGAAAGTTTTATTAAATTTGTCACACAAATGCTTAATTTTAAAACTTCAGAGTGCTCAATGTATGTTGGTGTCATTGAAACCTACGTCAGACTCTGCATTTATAGGTAAATAACCCACAAACTGCTGTACTTCTAGTCTTTTGAGTAAAATGGAACTGAAAGGGCTGCAGTCCTTTTTGGAGGAGATGAGGGACATGGTTTGATTTTGAAAGAGGATCTGTTTTTGGCACAAGAATAGTAAGTACTAAAACATCATCATTTTAGTGATTTCAGAAAGATGTGGAAGAATCTGAATTTATGGTGACACAGATACATTGAGCCAGACACCATAATGTCTTAAAGCAAACAGTAACTATCGAAAGTTAACAAAAAAAGTTATCCAGCTTTAATAATTCTGGATGAAAGTTTAGTAAAACACTGTTGGTCTTCACTGCCCTATTCTGAAGATCAGACTAGTTATCCCTGGTAATCTGGCCAAGATTCATCCATTAATCAACATCACAAAAAACATATTTGGTCAATATCATATACTGTTGTGGGGCATATATTTTAAAATCTTATATCAGGTAAAAGGGTAAAGTTGCCATAATCCTAGCAGACCAAAGGGAAGGGTAAGATTGAAAAGGTGAGTCTTTCATGCAGGAATTGTACCCAAGCTGTAGGTGTTACTCTACATTACAAACCAGTCAGTCAGCCAATTGAGCTAACCTACCCACTTAAAGGTAAAGCTGCCATCATCCCAGAGGACTACTGGTGTGGTGCCATCAATATTGACTCAAAATATACCACATTGGCATTGCAGATTGAGATGCAATCACCCTGAAGGTCTACTGGTAGTGATCCCAGGAATTGTACAAGGTTGGCATTTGCCAGGTGCATTAACTCTACCAAAAACTACATGGATATTGGACAATTTAATTTATTTTAATTAATGCCAGGCCTTAGAGGCTGAAGCTCAAAAAATACCCAGCCTGGAGATAATTATTCCTAATATACAAGGATTGAAAGAGGTTCTTAGGTCTGAGAAGAGTCTGAGAAGGAAAAGAGGGCTGCAAATAAGAGTTGATCACTCCTCTCCATACAGTGAGATATGCTAGATCCTGAAACTAGGGCCATGTCTCCATTATTCGTTCAGCTGCAGCCTCAGCTTGTGCATCAACTTGATGAA